GCCTAGCTCGTTTTTTATTGCGTGAGGAAAAGGGAATTTGGCTTTTACCCGTGTTTTTATGACACACTGGATGCTCCACTTGCATGACTGTCTTGAGGCCAAACCCTTTAACCCCTTGAGAGCTGCTGATCGGGAGCACCAGCTGCTAAGTGCCAGCACGCTTCCTGCACCGGGGCCCGCGGGGAGAGGGAGGGCTGGAAAGGATACGACCCTAAACTTCAGAAACTGCTTCCCTCCTTGGGGGCAAAAGATAATTCAGCTTGCGTCTTCTCTTGTTTTCTCTCGGTTTATTCGGTTAATGTTTCTGATGTGGATTGTTGGGCGTTCACTGTAAACGCTTCGAGCCCTTAGAAACATGACAGTTAATTACTGAAGTCAAAATCTGCCTTGCGCTGACGTGGAAGTATTTTGGGGCATATTTACTCGACTGGCTGACCGAGCAGCTCAGGGTGGGGGAAGGCTCACGCAGTCTGGCTCGCAAGGAGTTCTTGCAAATGCGTCTTCTGCTTAAGGAAAAACACATTGCGCGGTCACTTCACGTTACTGCTGGTGCTACGTCAGCTCAAGTCTCACCCTAAGCGACGTTCTTACATTCATTGAAAACAAGCCGTGAAATTTGGTATGAACCTATGGCAAACAGAAACTAAATTTATTGTCTATAGGATAAACGACAGTCAGAAGGGAAAACTTCTTCATTTGGGAAGGTGCTGCTTCCTTTATCCCTCCTTTTATTTCCTGAAACTAGAAGCATTGTTAAACAAGGGGAGAAGTGACAGAAGATCTTGCCTTTTTGACACAGTATGTTTTCTTTTCTAGTTATCTTCAGTACTCCTGAGCCTGTTTTTAACCCTTCCTTTAAGTTATTTGTTGTGTGGCAATAAATTGACATCTCCAGCTACTGGATGTTGAACATTGGTCTTGCTAGTTCAGTTGCCTGAGCAAAACGTTTCCAATATGAGATATCCTTGGAAGCAGCGGGCCAAGCTCCTTCAGCTTTTCCTCTAAACTGTTGTCTGAAATTTAGTTTGTATGTGAGCTTTCTAGCTAAGCAGTCTTTAAAACATCTTAGCAGTGTGTGGCACTTTTGGCCGTCTAAGGAAGAGCATGATTTGACCTCGATGTCGTTAGATGCAATTTCCCTCTCTCCCAGTGTCATGTAACATATGCTGTGTTCTTTTTCACCTGAAATAGCTCAAAAGTGTAAATAAAGTGCTCTTGGACACTACAGAATGAGAATATGTTGTTTTGCCATTCTGTTGCGTTCCCATATGGCTATGTTATTGTTAAAGGCTTTTTATATATTATATAAAGAGACAGCCCCAGTGTGCTGAAGAAGATGTTGAGTTTTTGTCATATTCCAACAAAACAATTAAATAGAGTCGAAAGTTCACGCTGCAGTTAAACGCTGAGCTCTGATCACCTGTGAATGCAAGCTGGGTTCAGGCTGCCCTTTGAAGGCTCCTCTGTTGTCTGTCCCTGTCGCTGGAGAGCTTTCTACAGCCTGTCACACACATCAGTGGATGTGAGCTGAATTTACATGATGTAACAGCAACGCAGCATTAGTTTGAATAAAAAAAGCCCTCATCGCAAAATGAGATTTAATAGTAGACTACCAATATATATATTTAAACACATTTGTTTTAGGCACAATAAGGGAGTAGATGCAAAATACGTAGCAGTGGATGTAGGGACAGGAGAGAGGT